AAAATTTTTATCGCGGCTTTGGTGACCGTGTCAAACTGACCGTGTCAAACCTCTTGTTCCTTTCATGCCTTTACCGCGGCTATGCATTGATCGTGTCAATCGAACCGTGTCATTCACCGAGAGGTTTGTATCGTGAAACTTTGTTGCCTCGGTTTGGATTTTGACCGCATCGTTCCATCGTCCCAAGATCCAAACAGAAATTTCATCGGCTAAAATTGTTGGCACGGTATGGCTTGCTCGTGTCAATGCACCGCGTCAATACCCGAAGAAGTTTTTCCTCGGCTAAAATCCCATGCCACGGTCTGGACCGACCGTGGCAATCACCCTGTGTCATTTCCCAAAGCTTATCACTCGATTGAAGTTCTTTGCCGCAGTCTGCTCGTCCCGTGCCTTTCAAGCCGTGTCAAAACCCAAATGCTCATTGGCCGGCTAAAACATGTTTGACACAGTCAGGCCTGCGAACTCCCCGTGGCAACTCCCTGTGTCTGTGACATGCTCATTGACCGTGTCAAACTCCCCGTGGCAACTCCTGAACGGTGCCTCGTCTAAAAACACTTTGCCATGAACATTATCTCATCCCGTGCCAACCAACCGTGGCAAGATCCGAATGGGATTCTTGCTAAGTTCACAATTGCCTCAGCTGGCCTGCGAACCGTGTCACCTGACCGTGGCAATCGCTGAGAGGTCTGCAAACTTGCCATTGTCTAGATTTCACCCGTGACTCCCCCTCGTGCCGAAGTCAGAACAACGTTCCACGCCCAAGTCTTGACCGTGGCTGGCCACCATGGCATTGTCCGAGTCATAACACTTGGCCTCCTCTTTCATTTCGTTGCCTTTTACACACTTTCTCACAAGGCCTAACCTCTTGTGATCAAGCCCGAGACCGGAAAACACTTAACAAACACATCAAAAACTTCCAAAAATATAAAACGAAAATATATAAAAGCTATTTACAAAGGATAAGCTTTGGGTGTCTCCCCAGCACTTTGTTTAATGTCACTATGTTTGACTTTGAAAACCTGTTTAACAGGCTGGTGGATCATCAAGAGGAACTGAAGAAGTTTCCTCTCTCTTCTCTGAAAGCAGGTAATGCTTGACCCTTTGTCCATTCACAACAAAACCCTTGCCATCCTTTCCTTCCAAAACCAATGCTCCTAAGCTTCTAACCTCCAAAACCCTGAATGGTCCTGAACATCTTGACCTTAACTTGCCAGGAAAGAGCTTGAGCCAGGAGTTAAACAAGAGTACAAGGTCTCCCACCTTGAATTCCCTCTTAAGAATCTTCTGATCAGGCAATACCCTGGTCTTCTCCTTATAAATCCTTGCACTTTCAAAAGCATTGAGTCTTATTTCCTCTAGCTCATGTAACTGAAGTACTCTCTTCTCTTGAGCTGTTTTAATGTCAAAGTTCAACATTTTAACAGCCCAAAGAGCGTTGTACTCAAGCTCCACTGGTAGGTGACAGCTCTTCCCATATAACAGATTGAAAGGTGAGGTTCCAATGGGAGTCTTGTAAGTGGTCCTATAGGCCCAAATAGCATCATCTAACTTCCTGCTCCAGTCTTTCCTCGAGTTTCTCAGTGTTCTTTCTAATATGGCTTTGATCTATCTGTTTGAAACCTCTACTTGGCCGCTAGTCTGAGGGTGATATGGGCTTGCAACTTTATGTTTGACACCATGCTTCCTTAGCAGCCCCTCTAGAGTCTTGTTCACAAAATGAAAACCTCCATCACTTATCACTACTCTAGGAACCCCAAACCTAGGGAAGATGATGCTTTTGAAAAGCTTGACCACCACTTTAGAGTCATTGGTTGGGGAAGCAACAGCCTCAACCCATTTGGAAACATAATCCACAGCATCAAGTATGTACTGGTTCCCATTTGAACTCACAAAAGGCCCCATGAAGTCTATGCCCCAACAGTCAAAGAGTTCCACTTCAAGAATGGGGGTTTGGGGCATCTCACTTCTCTTGGAGATCTTTCCTTGTCTTTGGCATTGATCACAACTTGACACAACAACTTGAGCATCTATGAACATTGTAGGCCACCAGAACCCTGATTGTAACACCTTGGCCACTGTCTTTAAAGCTCCTAAATGACCTCCATAAGCTGACCCATGACATTCCTGTAGCACTGGTTGAATCTCTTCCTCAGCTAAGCATCTCCTATACAAGTGATCTTTGTTCAGCACATACAAATAAGGTTCATCCCCATGATACCTTTGCACATCTTTGAAGAATCTCTTCCTTTGATAGGCATCCAGTTCTGGTGCCTTTACACCACAAGAGAGATAGTTAACAATATCTGCAAACCAAGGTAAACTCCTCTCTCTTATAGCATTAGCCTGTTCCACCTCCAAGTAAGATTAACAACCATTAGATGCTCTTCAGGAAGTGAGTCATCTAAAGGTACATCTGATTCCACTCTCAGCCTAGAAAGATGATCAGCAGCTCCATTTTTAATGCCGTCCTTGTCTTGCACCTCCATATCAAATTCTTGCAGGAGTAGAACCCACCTCATGAGCCTAGGCTTGGCATCCTTCTTTGTCATTAGGTACCTCAAAGCTGCATGATCAGTGTACTTAAAAACTTTTGAGCCCACAAGGTAGCTTCTGAATTTGTCAAATGCAAAGACTATAGCCAACATCTCATTTTCTGTTGTTGCATATTTTTCTTGTGCTGAGTCCAAGGTCCTGCTTGCATAATAGATCACATGCAACTTCTTTTCTTTCTTTTGGCCTAAAACTGCTCCCACTGCATAATCTGAAGCATCTGTCATCACTTCAATGGGCAATGTCCAATCAGGAGCCTGAACTATTGGTGCAATCACAAGAGCTTGCTTGATCTTAAGAAATGCTTCCATGCACTCCTCATCAAATACATAGTCCACCTCCTTGCAAAGAAGCCTTGTCAAAGGCCTGGCTATCTTAGAAAATTCTTTGATAAACCTTCTATAGAAGGCGGCATGACCAAGGAAGCTTATAATGCCCTTAACCGATGTTGGAGCCTTTAAGTTCACCATGACCTCCACCTTGGCCTTGTCCACCTCTATTCCTTCTTCTCAGACCTTGTGCCCAAGTACAATTCCCTCTTGCACCATAAAATGACATTTCCCAGTTTAACACCAAGCTTGTCTCCTCACATCTCTTGAGACCCTGAGAAAGATTAGAATGACAAGCAGAGAAAGAGGACCCATAGACAGAGAAGTTGTCCATGAATACCTCTACCTTCTCTTCAATAAGGTCAGAAAATATGTGTATCATACAACGCTGGAATGTGGCAGGAGCATTGCATAGGCCAAAGGGCATGCGTCTATATGCATATGTGCCATATGGGCTTGTGAATGTCGTTTTCTCTTGATCTCTGGGATCTGTTGGGGTCGGTTTTCACCCCAAGCAGATAAAACCATCTCAGAATGACTAAGTATAGAAGAAAGACAAAGTAGCCAAGCCGTCCACCAAACAGGGGCCGAGCCGTGCTCACCAAGACAAGTGGGAGAGCCGTGGTCACCAAGACAAGTGGGAGAGCCGTGGCCACCAAGTGGGATAACCGTGAAGATAGACCAATGGGGAGAGCCGTGAAGAAAGATAGATGGGCCGAGCCGTATCATGAGAAATGGGCTGAGCCGCACTTCAACATGCTTGGGCCGAGCCGCGCCCCGGTGAGGTGGAACAAATCACGTCTCGACTCAAATGGCAAGCGGGCCGAGCCGTGGAGAAGTTCAGATGGGCCGAACCAAGGCCTTGAGAGACGAAGCCCATAGAAACCCTAGGCGAGATACAAAGGCGGTGAGCCGCACGAGGCGATAAGAAAATATTCCAAAAATCTCTCCCGAGATTCTCGGCTAGGCGGTTCAGAGAATTAGTATAAATAAACGATGTATACAATTCATTCTGTAACTTTTGCAACCCTAAGCAATAAGAGCTAAACACTTTTACAGCAAAAACCTTCTTTTGATCTTACTGTTCTTGCGATAAATCCCTAGAAATTTTGGATCCCTGAAGTTTTCCTTAACAAAATTTTTGGTTGTGCGAGTTTTGGCTCATACAGGATCTATAGGTATTTGGAAGAAACCAGAGTACCCATCAAGGAAAACGAAATAGGAGTGGTTAGCATCAATAAATGGCAATAGGAAATTATCCTTTCTAGATGCAGAGTTAAGCTTTCTATAATCAATGCACATGCGGTGACCAGTTATAGTTCTTGTGGCTATTAACTCACCCCTATCATTTTTCACCACTGTGACACCACCTTTCTTGGGAACCACATGCACAGGAGATATCCATCTTGAGTCAGAAATTGGGTAAATAATTCCTTCCTCAAGAAGTTTGAGTACCTCCTTCTTAACCACCTCTTTGAGGTTGGGGTTAAGGCGCCTCTGCTGCTCAATAGAGGATATGGATTTGTCCTCTAGGTGGATCCTGTGGGTGAAAATATCAGGAGAGATCCCTCTAATGTCTGCTAAGGAATAACCTATTGCTCTCCTGAATGTACTAAGTTCACTTAACAATGCTTGTTCTTCATGAGCTAACAGGTTATCATTAATGATGACAAGGTATGAAGAGTTAGGTCCAAGGAATGCATACCTGAGCCCTGTTGGTAGAGGCTTGAGCTCAACAGGGGGTGCCTTTGATTCATCCCAATCAGCACTGGAGCTGTCCTGCTCGGTTGTAGCTCCCTTGTTGCTGCTCACACAGCTCACCCTGCTCCTCCACTTTAGAACCCACGTCCATGACTCTTTGAACTGCTTATTGGCTTGTATTTGAGCCTCTGATGTCCAAGACCTCAAAACCGCCTGCTTCTAGCTCCAGAAACTTTGTCTCTGAACCAAGTTCCCTTGCATGGTCCAAAAACAACTTGTACCCTTCACTCTCCTCTGCCAAGAACCCATGGTCTCCTTGTTCTTTGGTTAAAGCAACTTGAAGAGGATCATCAGTATTCAACTCCTCAAGAAGTTCATCAGCTAGTTGATCCATGGTCTCTACATAGAAGCATTGTCCTTCTATGGTAGGTTTTTCATCATGTCCTTGATATCAAACTTCAGCTTTTCTTTACCAAGTTGTAGCCCAATGATGCCACCTCTTACATCAATGATTGCTCCTGTTGTGGCCGAGAATGGCTTTCCCAAAATCAGTGGATCAACCGGCTCTTCATCCATCTCTAGAACAACAAAATCTGTAGGCACTTCAAAACCGCCTCTCTTGACTGGCAAGTCCTCTAACATCCCAACAGGTAGCCTTACTGATCTATCACATAGAACAAGAGAGATTCTAGCAGGTTTGAACACTCTATATCCAAGCTTTCTTGCTATAAAAAATGGCATTAAGCTGACAGATGCTCCCAAGTCATAAAGGCAGTGTGTAAACATCAATGCTCCTATAGCACAAGGAAGAGTAAAGCTCCCTGGATCAGACAGCTTCCTTGGGACTGAACTTTTCTGAATGATGGCACTACACTCATGGCTAAGCACCACCATATCTTGTAGCTCTTTAGTTTTGTTCAAGATAGCATATTTTAGAAGCTTTCCAAGCTTAGGCATCATCAGAAATTCTTCAATGAGAGGCATTGTAAGTGGTGTTTCATTAAGAGTCTTCTCAAAGAGTGCCCTTGCTTTATCTAAAAACTGCTTCTTAAATCTTCCTGGATATGGGAGCTTAGGTTGATTGGGAGGTGGTGGAACATAAGGCTTTTCTGATTCTAATAGCTTTTCCACCTCTTTGGCCTTCCCTTTCTTTGATCTTTCAGCTTCTTGATCATCCCTGGGGGCTGCCTCCCCACCAATTTGATCATTGTCCTTAATGATCACATTGTTATGCTCTAAACCTGGTAGCTCTTTGCCACTTCTCAATGTAATGACTTTAGCATACTCTTTTGGGTTTGGTTCAGGCTTACCAGGTAAGCCACCTTGGCTTCTTGAAGTAGATGCCTGATTCTGTTTCAGCTCCCTTATCTCTTGTTCCATTGAAGCATACTGACTCTCAGCTCTTTGTTGACCCTGTAGCAACTGCTGTAGTATCCCACACATATCTGGTCCCATCTGCTGACTCTGAACTAGCGGTTCCTAGATCAAATGCTGCTGAACCATCAGCTGCTGATTGAAACCTGGAGGCACTTTGAGCTGTTTCTGTTGAGAACTGAAGTTGCTGACCGGATTCTGATGCTGTGGTTGACCATATTGTTGCTGAGGCTGGCTGAACTGAGGCTAAAAAGAACTCTGAAATAGATTCTTAGGAGCATAGCTTTGTTGGTTTTGCTAAGAAGGGTACACCTGATCTTGAGGATTTGCTACATTGGGGTTGCGGTATAAGAGGTTCTGGTTGGCTCCATGGTTGTTGAACCTCTGATACTTCTGTTGATTCCCAATATAGTTGATCTCTTCTTGTGTGAAGCCATCTTCATTGATGTTCTCAAAGCTTGGAGAATCATCAAACTCACCAACATAGTGAATTGGTTTTTGAGAAACCAGTTTCAGTTTTTCTAGTTCACTCCTCAGCTCTTTAACCTCTTTAGTAAGCCTTTGATCTGATCTTGAACCCTCTGATCTGTTTGTCCTGTCATAATCCTCACCATAGGTGTCATTAGCCAAATTCTCCACAAGTTCCATAGCAGATGTAATCTCTATTGCCAATAAATTACCATTGGAAGTTGTGTCTAATTGATTACTTATATGTGGTAAAGCTCCTCTATACAGTGTAGAAAGTAGAGAAGCATCAGACAAACCATGGTGTGGACATTCACTACAAGAAAGAGGGGCTTTTCCGTCGAATTATTTACGATGATTTGTAGTCGTCATAAATTTACGACGACATTACGTCGTATTTACGACGATCAAAAATTTCGTCGTAAATTCGACGTAAAAAATAACCCTCGTAAAATCGTCGTAATGTTACGACGATATTACGACGAATAAAGAATGAATTATATTTCGTCGTAATATTTACATCGATAATACGACGAATTGTCCTCTATCTTGTAATTGACCTAAAATCGATGTAAATGTGATGTAAATTTTATTTCGACGTAAATTTGATGTAAATATGCAATGGTAATATGTTGGTAACCAAACAAAAAATTCTATATATACCCTTTCTTCTCTCATTATTCCATCAACCCAAAAAACATATAAAGACACAAATTTTTTGAGTCTTTGAATGTTTAAGTAAAATTTTTAGTAGTTGAAATTTCTATCAAATTTCAGAAACAAAAAGTCAAATATTTGTGTAGCTTCTAAACCGCTCCCAAGCTTCCCCAAAGCTTTCATTGTTATGTTGCTTGAAGCTTTAAATTGGTTTCTCAGCTTAGCTGTCCTAGAAGTAGAGAAGAACTTGGATAAAAAGGCAAGCTTGCACTGCTCCCAAGTCTGTATGGAACCTCTAGGCAGATTCTTCTCCCATTGGTGTGCCTTGTCTCCTAGACTGAATGGGAAAAGCTATCTTCAGAGACACCATTGATTTTGGTGAGGTCACAAACTCTGTCAAACTGGTCTAGGTGCTCCAAAGGATCCTCCATTGGCAAACCATGGAACTTAGAGTTCTGCACCATGTTGAGCCAAGAAGCCTTCACCTGAAAATTGTTATTCTGAAATGGTGGTGCTTGGATTCCTGCTTTATTGTGATGTGCATTGGCTCTATCATTCTCCCCAACAAACACTGGTGGAGGTTCTTGTCTCCTTTGAGCTTGATGCTGAGGAATGAATTGAGCCTGTTGCTCATTCCTATTAGCCTGTTGCTGATTCTGCTGAGCCTGCCTCTCATTCCTTTGTGCCATGTTTATATTGACAAAGGCTTGCTGCTCATTCCTCTCAGCTTGAGCCTGATTCCTTTGAGCTCCATTACCATGCTGAGCCTGTTGCTCTTCTTGAACCTGGTGCTCAATGTCAACCACGTGGTGCTCTCTCTGTTGCTCCATATCAGCTGCTCTATCAGTTTCCCTTGCACGTCTATCTCTTGTTCTTGTTGGAACTAAGAGATTGATGTTGTCGTTCAGAGGAAATGGTGGACCACAACTTCTAGACCTTGATCTGGTGTTCATACACCTGAAAACAAAGACAGAACTTGCAAAGTGATCAGTAAAACAAAAGAAAAAGACTTGATCTCAATAACAGATCAAAGACTAATGCTAAACAATCCAAAATTTGGCAACGGCTGATATGCTCAAAGTTTAATCCCTAAGCTACTCTACAAGAGCACAGATGTGCAGTTGTAGTATTGCAGGGGTCGAACCACACAGACGAGAAATTCACGCAATAAACCTATTTAGAAATCGAATTATGCTAAGCAGATTAATGAGAAGCTAACAACGATGCAATAAAAATAAACGATGCAGTAAAAACGTTTGTAAGATTCAGATGGATGGAAATTAGGCTTAGGGTGTTTCTCAGGAAATCAAAAAATGCAGATCCATTGAGTAGTCACGATTCAGGTTTAAGCACGGTTCTTGAACTCAATCACAAAATTATAATTAACCAACTTCCATTGTGAAAATTATCTACGTTAAAATCTTAGAATTCCAAATTCTTTTGCAAATCCTACAGATTTAAACCAGCTTTAGTGCTCAAGTTTGATATGTTCACAAAGTGCCTAAACTAAATTCCTTTGCGAATAGCTACTTTGCTCACCCTAGGTTCTTTCCAGTTATTCAATTACTTTTCCGTTTCAATTAAGCAACCTAAGATCTAAGTTCTAGGTGATGAGTCCAGAATTAGCTTTAAGAATAACCTATGGTGAAGAACTAAATAGATTATGAACCCTAACTTAATCAATTAATCAAACATTCAAAGAAAACCTTAATGAGAAACCTAAACCTAACAAGCTAACTACTCAGACATGGATATTGAAACAACACACATGATTGAATAGATTGCAATAAGAAGATGAATAAAATAAATAAAGGGGTTCAAAATCTTTTCTCTAAACGAACAGAGTTCAGACTTGTCTCCCCAAGCTCTAAAAATCGCAAAACGCCTAAAGCACAAGCTATCTCTCTCTCGAAAATCCAAGGTGTCGATGAAAAGAGACTAAAAACCCTATTTATATCTTAAAAACACGTATTGGGCTTCTTTGGAAACTTCTGGGTCCAACTCCTTCTTCAAACAAGAAACAAAATTGCGTTTTCCTTTTTTCTTTGGCAAGCGTCGAGCGTCACTCTCCATGGTGTCGTGCGACACCAATGCACATGATTTGTCTTTCGCGAATTTGATCCTGATTTAGCTCCAAAGTGCTCCAAAATCACCAATTAAGCTCCAAACGTACCTAAGACCTGTAAAGACTCCAAAAGACTCGAAAAACACTAGGAAAACTATATAAATAAGACCTATATCATGGTCAAAAACCATAAAAACCATGATATATCAACTCCCCCAGACTTAGCATTTGCTTGCCCTCAAGCAAACATAATACCCAATAAGAGAAAGAGGTTTGAAAACACGGAGATTCAACCTTTCACTGGAACATCAATTTGACCGATCACCTTGAAACTCAAATACTGCTTCATCATTCTAAATCGAACCACCATGTACTTCTCCGCAGACATTCACAGCTTCCCAGATTAAGTCCCAAATTCTACAACATTGTCCATAAACCCTCATCGCCGGATCTCACTGATGAATCAGATGCCAAGAATCTTCCAGATTCGTTCCCGTACTAATACTCAAACAAATCAGCCATATAATCCTTTGGTACTCTTCTCTCTCCCCAGACTATCATTTCGCACTCTCATCATCTTTTTTTATGGCATATATACGATAAGGTTAAAACTGCGAGTACTGATAGTATTCCATCGAATCCCCGATTTGTCCCCTTACCTTGTATCAAAGGTTTTCAGCAAATAATGGGGTCACTTGAAATTTTCGTACCCCTCGGTTCCTTCCTTTGTGTGATCAGTCCTACTTAGAGGTGAAATAATGGGATCCTTGGAAATTTTCCCTAGCCCTTCACTCCTAAAAGAAAATCATATCAATCTTTTCGCCCTTTTCTTTCTTTCTTCTCTCTTTTTTTTTATCTTGTCAAAAAGGAGAGAGGTACCAACATTAGATCTCACACAGGCTTCCATTTGTCAAGTATGAACGAGGAATTAAGCTCTATGAACATCAGCCACATCAGTGAGGTAAAAGTTCAGAAATTAGCTCAGGTTAGTGGAATTTGTTGGAAACATGGATGCCTCTAGTCAACTGCTCAGCCTTTGGATTTTTCATTAGTCGGATCTAGACTGAATCTGCAGTAATGGTCACTTAGATGAAAGGTCAGCACAATAATTCCAGGAAAAGCATCATAATCTCCAACAAGTTTTGACTCAATAACAATTTGATAGGACTGACTCTTAAGAAAAACAAACACAATGTCAGCGACTACTTCCCCCAGAGTTGAACAACACTGTCCTCAGTGTTATCTAGCCCGAAGTTACAAAGAAAAGAATCAAAGACGACGAATGCAAAGGGTTAGAGTGTCTTACTGCCGAGTCAACATCGACCAACACACAGCTCAGAATCAGGCAAAACTAAGCCTAGGTCGACAGTACATGGGTGGTGACGAGCGATACCTGTAATGGTGTCGCGCGACACCACGTTGTAGAGAACAATCCTTGTGATCAGAAACACGTGAATCCATTAAACAGGACAGAGAATCATCTAGGTTAGCACTGTCAGATCACTCAGAGATAAGTTAGAAGTTACAAGTCAACCCATATATGCATAAATCCAGCAAAGTTTCACAACAAATGTAGCTGACACAACAGACTCAAACAAGGAAGACGAAAATAAAAGAAAAACAAAAGAAAAGAAAATAGAACCAGAACGACCAAGGAACTAGTCCTCGTCAGTAGTAGCAGCATCATCACCGGAGTGAGTGGGTGAACGGGAGCATGGACGAGAAGTGCGAACACAGCCACAACGAGAGAGAGTAGCGATGGCACTTCAGATGCTCTGAAAATTCTGAACAACGTACCTCTGAAAATCAGGAGCCTCCATGGGAATCTCTGGTGCAGGTGGGAGATCAGGAGCAGAGAATGAGATGCCACTAGAGCGAGTGATAACACCGTATT